AATAATAATAATAATAATAATAATAATAATAATAATAATAATAATAATAATAATAATAATAATAATAATAATAATAATAATAATAATAATAATAATAATAATAATAATAATAATAATAATAATAATAATTGGATATATTCATTTACAATAAGAAATTTATTTGGTTATATTTTTGTATGGTTGGAGTCTCGCGAATCGGAATTCGCGACATGATATGGCAATATGTCATCGTGTAAATTTATCGAGAACTTTAGTTCACCAGTATTTATCAGTGTTATAGACACATGTTTTAAAACATTTTAAAACATACACCTAATAGAAATATTAATTGGAAGAACCTATCTAGTATGGGTATATGTTCAATCACAATTGAACCAAAATTCATGGAAAATTTATCCTTATTAATTCACAAGGTTGGATAACATTTTTGGTAACATATATCGTTCTGGGAATTAAGAAATTCGAAACAAGATTTTATGCAGTGTTTGTTATGTCAATTCGTTTACTATTGTATTGACTACAGGTACTGCCGTTTTGAGTGGTTTTTCAATTATATTTTCGATCATTATCTGATCTCCCACTGGGGTATTAATTTCTTTTTTAGAGTATTTTGATTTTTGATAAATATAAAATTAGTGAAAACACACGCTAGCTAACGGTACTGATTGCTGTTTCAGAAACAGTTTGAAACAGAAAGTTAAGGGAAAAATTAAAGAAAATATCTATTTCAGCTTCATGACATGGTTGGTTATTAGCAAACACTGAATTTGCAAATTAACATGAATGTTGAAGAAATAGAAACATACGTGATACTTTTTGCTGACAGTGTCGCATACCTTTTTTAAAGTTGAGGAATAGTAGCAGACTAGACAGCCGAAGACACATATCTTTAAGAAATACAATATAATAGCAACCATCAGATTTCCATAAATTAAAACATGCAAACTCAGACGGTTATAGTATAACGGAACATCGCTTGGACTACGATGAAACTGAGATACATATTCGGGTAATAATTATCAGTTCTCCATTTCACCTCAACTTTTGAACAGTTAACAAGTCGCAGTGCTGATGACTTTGGAACGATAAAAAGTGCGGTTCAATCTGTTTCTGCTAAATTCAATCATGAAATTTCTAAAAGAAAAGCTATCAGTGAAATATTTTCGAAATCAGTTTTGTTGGTAAGAGTAAACACATCACATAGCGTCCCAATGAGTATGATGAAATGAATGGCGGCGAAAACGTTAGGCCATAGAGATAATGCATGACGATAATTCAATCAGAACGAGAACTACGAAGTTTCGGTATGAATTAACTCCAAAGTCTTGTAGATTTAATCACAGGCATTTTTACCAGTAGCCCCTGTGTAAAAATGCAAACAGCATTCAGATTTTAAAATTAAAATAAAGTGTGGTTTATGAAGAAGCCATCCCGAGAACGAAATCATGAAGACAGGAAAAAAAGCAAAAGAACATAAAAACACGAATTTCCCAAGAATTTTGGACTGTAGAGACCTCTTCAAGATAGTCGAAACAATTACTTCAATAAACTCTTCAAGGAAACGAAATTCTACCATGCCTATTTATTGTTAATATCATTTTTCGAAAAAATTTACAGGAAAGGCGGGAGCAATAAAACACAATTAGAAGCTCTCGCCAGGCAAATTCGTAAGCATACAGCCATAATTTTTAAGACCACCTCATCTCTCCTAATCCATGATTCCTGTGCAAGTAAAGCCAAAAAATACGTCTGCTTGAATAGAACTCAGGTTGGATAATATAGGCTACTGCTGCAATAATTAATAACTAGTTTAACGTCTGACAAAAAACTGAAAACTGTTAAGAGTAATATAGAATAATTTTCAACGTGACAAAACAAGACGTTAGTTTCTTAGTTTCTCTTGACCATCTTTAGATCGGCAATTGTATACATACTATAGGCTGGATCACCTGTCACTTCTTTTGAAATATTCATAAAGTCGGGTAATATTGGTTCATTGGTGTCACCGATCGGAGCAGTCGTGTATGTTTCCAGTAACATTAACGGCTTTCCCTCACATGATGGTGGTAATGGTGAAGTATACGTATCCAAATGATAGTACTAAAAATTGCATAAAATTAATTCGGTAAGATTATTCAAGCAAATAAATGAGACTTCCTAAAGAAAACATATTTCAAATGACAACTCTCTGGATGGTAACATTTGTCTAGAGAAGGCAGAACTAGAAGTATCTACGTTCAAAAGAAAAAGAACTGAAATCAACCCGTTTCCAATAAAATAGACTTTTGAGTAGAGGCATGTGACGAAGATTTCCTAATGAAGCTTAACTTGTCAGTAATTTATTTAATTCATTCAGCAATGTGTCTGGTTGATTTTCTGCCAATAATAGCGAGTTTTTCTGCTTATAAAATGTAAAAAAGAAATTTTTTAATCAAGATTAAATTTATACATGCCTGTTTGCCATACATGAAGCATCTCCGTTCCTTATTGATCGGCACTCTCGAACGATCTTGCATTTTAATATAATTCATATATTCTCGATAGTTCAACTGCATGCGAGTTTCGACCGGTTCTGGACCATCATAGTGCCGAGTTGTTATAGCATATGTCGTGCGGCCATTTTGCCTTCGAGAACGTAACCGAACCTTAAGTACAATTTATCGTTAATACAATTTTTATTTACTTTAAGAAAATGTTTCGTAAGATTACGCATTAACCAGCACAAGAAGTTATCAAAATAAAGGCAAAAAGTTAAGATAAACAATGCATTACTTTCATCTCTTCTGAATTTTTAAAAATTTTTAAAGATTAGGATTAATGTCGTTAGGAACAAATGCAAAATTGTTAATTCAAAAAACCAGAGGAACTCACACGTTCCTTCCAACTGTTCATCAAGCTCTAAATACGAAAAAATAAAATGATCGTATATGGAAATAGAACGTTCCTGTCAGAGTACAATGAAACTGTTCAAGGGGCAGATTAATTTCTATGAATAGTAAGAAATTCTATGGACTACCTCTGAAAAAAAAAAAAAAGTTAAACCTGAATATTCTGATCGTTGGTACACAAATAATTATGCCGTACAAAGAACACCTCACAACGTGGCAAACGCTTCTCATCAAACGATGCGACAAGCCATTTTCTTTTCCTGTAAAAGTGCTAGCTTTTTGCATCAAATGTGATCGTAACTATCAAATTTTTATTTGATTTTCATACACTGCTCTATTATATTGAATAAAAAAGCTCTCAGGTTTCACCTCTTATGATATTAATATTGTGAGGCAAGGATAAATCTATTTACATGTAGACTTTCCGCACGCATTCCGACTTACAGCTTTTCAGAAATGAAGTTACGTTATCTATACATATTCTTACTTTCCAAAACAGACTTGTGACGTTAATCACTTCATACTAGTACTTAATCTAACTTTTATTTGAAATGTCAGTCATCCCATATAAATTTCAAAACACAAAAGAAAAATATAAAAGTTACTTGCTATTGAAGGCCAATCGATCTTGAGTAGGAAGACCCATTCGACTGCACAAAGCAGCAATTAATTTACGCATTTTGTCCTCAAATGATTTGCATCCGACATTCTCGATTACATCAACGCGTGGATGCCCAAGCCAGGCCTATGTAAAAACGACCATTGAAACGAGTTTAGCTCACAACATTAGTTGTAATATAAATCTCTTAAACATTCCAAAATTATTTTCATCTTCTTACGATTGAAAACAAAATTAAAATGAAGAAAAGAAAATTGAGAAACGGAAACTTCCAGAGAAGCTGCATCCTCGAAGACAGGAACGTATAACTTGAAGTAATGGTTCAAATAAATGAAGAAAATCTGAGACAAGTTTCAGTGGTTATTTTGAAATTATGGAAATTTCTGAAAAACAAATAAATACTGAAAATAACAAAGATATCGAGAATCAAACAAAAAAAGTTGTTACATCTCGGGTGCGTCGATCTTGTTCTACAGCTTCCTGGATCGATTCCGTTCTTACATTACTATTTGCCAAAGTATAATATTCTTCAGCGCCATCTGCTGCAGTCGTCATATGCAGAACCTGGTAACAAATATTTTCAGTAACAAAAAAAAAAACCAAATATTCGAAAGTAAAAAAAAAGTGGTTGGAATATTTTAACAATGTAACCGAATTACCAGCACTTGAACCAATGTTAAAATGAAAATAAAAAGACAGCATCCTGGATTCTGTTAACACTTAAGAATTCGAGTCTTAAAATTTGGTCGAAATATCCCAAACTTTAATATTTGTCAAGCACTGAAAAGTGGAATCTGTGAGTGTTAACGTTTCCTTAATATGAATAAATCAAATTTTAAGAAAGTGCTATAACACGACATATTATAGCAGTAATAAAATTAACAAGCAGAGATATCCTAGAAATGAAGACTAAACAGAGCTTTTTGAGTGTTAAATGATCTAAAATACTAAAAAAGTCTCCTAAAATCTCGCAACAATTATATTGTTATTTTTCTCGAAAGAAAATCATATAATCATTATCAGAAATCGTCCACTAATATCCTACCGATAAAACAATCATAGTTTAAACGTCCACAACAAAATGTCGAAAACTTACTTGGTCATACCTATCTTCTCGCAGACTGAATTGATCCAAATTCATTTCCTTCAACATTTTATTCCAAGATTTTTTGTCAATGTATGCTGCCGGATCCATGGCTCCACGATCACATATGATTAAGATACGTTTAGCATTTGATGCATTGGCTTGATTAAAGAAAACCTGCCAATTTTTTCAACCACCACTACAGAAATTACTTAGAAACAACATTTAATCAATCAATAACTACCATTTCTAACGGTTTCTCTCTTCTAAAGAATTTTTAATTATCTCTTGTGTAATCCATTTGATCGTAAAGCTTAATTATGCATTGTTATATTTACCAAATGTTTAATAAGGAATAACGTTACCTATAAAGTGAAGTGTGAAGTTTTATTATGTTTTCAACAAATGTAACGCATATGTGCTCCAGTGTATTGTGAAAATTTTCTTTGTATCCATGACAATATGCCGAGTTGGTTTTTTAATTTTAAACCAGAGTAATTGATAAAACAGCTAGTAAATCAGTAAAAACATGATAATACACGATAAATTCACTATTCCAACAGAAAAGAAGAAATATAAATTCTTACCGTTTCAATTCTCAGCAAAGTTAATAACAGATCTTTCTGAAATTTATAAACTTGCTCCTCTGACAACTCGATAAATTTCACGCCACCACCAAGCAATATATTGGCTGTTTCCGGGACAGTATATACCTTCCATCCAATTTCCTCGAAAAATGTCCGAAGACGCTCCTAAAAACCATTGCACAAATGCATAGTAGTAATTAAGAAACAACAGTCAAGTTGTGTTAATGATGAAGGAACAATTCAGGAGAACGAGGAAGTATGACTCAAAGAAACAAATAGCTAGGAAGCCAAAATAAATCTTTCAGCTGTTTGGGTTAAATTGTGTGTTTTTATTTATAAAGTATCAAAAAGAAGGAAAAAAGAAATATTTCAATGCAGGATTTTCATCAAATGTTAACAATTTAAATAAGACATACCATATCTTTCACCATTTGAAGTTGCAATATTTCGAAGACACCTACGACACCAATTAAAACAACCATGACATTGGTCCAGTAATAAGTATAATAATACCGTATCAGGTACAATTGTATGGTCAAATTTTTAATTAAACAAATTACTAATTTATTTAACATTATAATAATTNTACATTGAATTTACAAAAAAAAGTAAAAATTAATACTAAAACTATAGTTATACGATACAAATAAA